TACGTTGTCGGATCCTGCGGTTCTTTTCCCGGTTTAGGAAGCAGGACCAGATCTTTCTTTTTCCAAGGGCGTGGAAAAACTCCTTCCTTTAGACATTTGGTAAAGAAGCTTGCGAATACGTTGCGATCAGCTTTAATTGCCGCAATGACAGCAACACTACGAATGCCGTCTGGGCCAGGAGCCTTTTTGTTCTTCATACGCTTCATAGCAGCATTTATCTCATTTACTGAATTTCTAAGGTACCAAAGTACATCCTCGGGTTTGTGTGTAAGTACTTTAACGACCGAAGCCTAGAATATGTGTTTGATCACGGAGTACATAAGTACGCAGTGTCATGCGGCGTCCCCCAGGACTCGGTGTTAGGACCCACACTCTGAAACGCTATGTACAAATGTGTGTTAATGATCGATCTTCCAGAAGATTATCAACTAATTGGCTATGCGGATGATTTGACAGTAGCGGTGGTTGCTAAGATCATTGCGAAAATAACAGTCATGTGTTCTGAATCAGTAGCCAGAATCGCTCGTTGACTCAATATGAACGGTCTTGAGAACGCAGCACAGAAGACCGAGGCAGTACGGATGACAACGAGGAAGAAGAGGGGAAACACTTGCATTCCAATGTGAAGGTGCCGTTATAACGTCGAAACCTAACCTAAGGTACTTAGGGGTTATCTTGGACGCAAGAACTCGTTTCAGAGAATATCTTCTGGCGACAAAAGCGTAGGCGAGCAGAACAATCATGGTTCTCTCGAGAAGTATGTCAAACACCGCAGAAATTCGGACTAGCAAGAGAAGAGTTCAAGCAACAGTTTTGATCTCGATCACGTTGCATCCGGCCACGGCCTTGTAGATGTGTACTTACGCGCCCTGCATTCAGTCCATGCACCGTTTGAGTGCTCTTCGGATAGCTAGCGCCTGTTTGTGGTACGACAGAGATAGCAGAGAGAATGCTAGAAGGCAAACAAGTCAAGAAGGCAGACCTGACAACGCAAATGGTCGAGTTCGAACAAGGTAAGTTGGACCTGCTCACTCATCCCTAATATAGAAGTATGGATTAAGAGAGGACACCGTGCACAGGTTCCACCTAATACAGGATTCCTGGTATCCTGCTTGCCTTTAAATAGAAGAGACCGCAGAACATGTGCTGTTCGCTTGTCCAAGATTATAACATTTGAGAGCGGAATTAGTAGCGGAGTTAGGTGAACCAGTATCGACTGGAAACTTAATCTTCTTCATGCTTCATTCAGCCAACAACTGGCGGATTCAATTATATCATCCTTGATGAGAGAATTGAGAGCTGCTGAACTACTTTGACGAAGGGAAGAGAAGCTTCTACAAATAAATGGACAGTTACTGACGTGACGACCAGACTATTGATTTGAGATTTTGCTCCAGACGCCTTCAGACTTATTACCTAACAGAGGTTCCTAAAAGAGCTTTCCGTCCGGACGAGAGGAGTTTTTAGGACGGCTGAAATCCGCGACTGATAAGGTTTTCGAGAGTTTCTCCCATTAAAAAAAAAATGTATATATACCTATATGTAGTTGTTTAAACAAAAAAAAACGCAATGTTTCTTGATATTTTTATTAAACTTCAAATTTTTAATTCACTACCTTATCTCTCCTATTACACTAGTTAGTCTACATATATATACAAAGAAATAATAATACAAACGAAGGAATAACTTACATTTAAAATTATATCATTGCGATCGGCTGTAGTACGCCTACTGCAAGTGAATTAAGTTTCAAATAAGGCACGAAGGAATATTTCCATATAAGGATATATTCAAACGAAGGAATAAGTTATATTAAAAATTATATCGTTGCATTTGAATGCAGAGTGTCTACTATGAGCAAGATAGTTTTAAATCAAACTAAAAGAATATTTCCCTATAAGGATATATTCAAACGAAGAAATAGTTTATATTAAAAGTTATATCGTTGCGATCGACTGTAATACGCCTACTGTAACTGATATAATTCAGGAGAGAACACGGTCTGTACAAGGTCTACCAGAAGGACACCTGAAACAACTATTCAACTCTAGATCGTTTAGTATTCGCTGAATTAATATTATATCTAAATATTTCATTATTCTTTTGAAAGTACAGTCAAACTTCCATAACTCAAACTTCTATAACTCGAATTTTCTATAACTCGAACCAAAAACGGTACAAGAAGGTTCTACAGAGCAAATTACATACAATTCCGCTTCCATAACTCGAACTTCTATAATTCGAATTTCTCTATAACTCGAACAAAAATTTTGTTCCGTGCTAATAGGTATATGGGAAAGTGCACTCTATAAGTCGAATTTTTATTTTAAGTATAAATGCATTTTGATGTTAGGGGAAGTCCCTTTTTCCAAACCAAATGTTTAATTTTTTCTTTCTTATGTTGCTTCTTTGTACAAATACCAGTCACTGGCAACGATTATATTGAATTTGAAAATGAAATTTGTACGTCAAGCTTTCCTATAGACGACGATATTACTGAGTACTATAGCTCTTAATTACTGGATCCAATTCTAAGCACAACGGAAAGTGATGATGAGGTTTTGGTGGATGTAATTGTTTATCAGCCTTCTTAGAATGAAGTAAAAGACTCATTCAAAATTCTAAATTTATATTTGCAAACGAATGATACTAAAACTTATGATCACTATAAGAGTATGAATAAACTGGAATCTCTTTTTACTGAAAATAAGAAAACTCGAAGAATCCAGAAGTCGAACATTTTCGCTGCTAAATTGGACTTCGAGTTATGGAAGTTTGTCTGCATATAATTTTGTTTTTAGTATAATAAACTATAAACATAGAAAATCTAGTAACGTCTTGAAATATTTTGGTCACAATTATAAATTTATTGTGACGACTCTGGTGAAGCTGAGGATAACCTAGCAATTAACAAGGGTCATAAGGAAAGTGTCGTTACAATATTATATTCTGCTTTGAAATATAAATATATTAGATAAAATAAATTAAATAAAATTCCAATGTTGGTTCCGATGTGTTATGTAACATTGTGATGTATTGTGTAGAGTTGTGTTGTAGGCTTAAGGGCCTATTACCCATCAACAATTGTCGTCACTTGCTATTACACATCAAACTAGTCGTCAATTTTTTAAACACGCCTCAGAAAAGCCAATAAATATATTACAAAATATGATCATGAACACATTTAAACAATGTTTTCACTTCCATCCCTTTAAGTGCGTATATATATATATATATATACACACACATACATGAGAATTTTTTCTCACACTTTTTTGTGAAATGGAATATTTGTGCCTTATTTTATGTGTAATATCAACATCTGAAGTTTGACAAAAAGTATTGATGGAAATCAAAAACTGTTGATTTTTCCTCAAACTTGCTCGTGTTTGTTCGTATACAATCGGATTTTATCGGCATGCACAATTACATTTATTTTAAGAAATGGAAGCGTAAACATCATTTAAATGCAGGCATAATTTATTGTTAGTAGACAATGCTTTGCAACTATGAAGAAATTATATCTTTTATTTTCAATATTATCTGTATTGTCTATCTAGATAAAATTTCTTAGTTACCAAAACATGTCATTAAGAAGATTTAAATTATTATTAACCGTTGACTTTCAATAATATCTAAATTACCAAACATTAAATAACAATTCATGTTTTATTTTAAATATTATTTGTATTGCCTAGCTATGTAAAATTTCTTAAATATTAAAACAAATCATTAAGAAGAATTAAAATATCAAATAAAATATACAAAAATAAAATGTATAAAAATAAACATATAAATTAAATATAAAAAATAATTGTTATTTATAAAATCATGCGTACCAGTTGCTGCTGAGACTTTAGCGATTGCTTTAATACTGATGACTGAAAAATGTTTGTACTCATTGTATTTAAAATAATGTCGACCGATTTGATGTGTAATAACAAACGACGACAACGATTGTTGACAACAATTGTTGATGTGTAATGGGTGTGTTAAGACCGGTGCAAACTATTCTTTTTGAGTATCATTCAAGAGAGAAAATCCATTAATGATACTCAACAATGATAGCTCCTTTTAATGACACACAACCAACTAAAATTTGGGCAAGCTATGATTCAGTTTCTCACAAACTTGTTGTGAATGATTGTCTGTCACTCAAAAACTTGCATTCGTCATTCAAGAGCATATTTTATCGTGGTTGCACTTAAACACTTATAGCATGTGAAACACACTTACAGCTTGCGTAAACACCCTTAGTCTTCAAAAATTTGGCTTGAATGAGAACTCTTGAATGTGACCATGTTCAAGATCAGTCACTAGAATAAATTTGAGCAAGAGAGAGCGCAACTTGAATGACATTCAAAAATGAATCGGTATGCACCGCGCTTTAGAATCATAGCCTTTGTGCCACACATTTTTTTAATACAATAATAGCTATCTCTGTCATCACTTTTGATCTCTTGTATGCTTTTTCTTCTTATTTTGAACTTTAATTATTGGTCCGATGTCTCTGTCAGCTATCTCTGTCGGCTGTTTAAGTAGTTTATTGTAAATGAATATAAATAAAAACTGAAAAAGCGCGATAAATATTTTCTCTTTTTGTTTTAATAACAAAAAAAGTTTTTGCAAAAATAATTGTTATAAAAAGTTTTTAGATCGTAAATTTTAAATTTCTTGGAGACCGACTTGAAAACATGTTCGTTCACTACAAATGTTGACAGTATATTGTTCTGCAGGTCGGCGAAAATCCTCGTTGTAAACCCTCCCCGTGGGTGCTGACCGGGCAATGGGCATCATCCATTTTTTGGCAATTCGATTCATGAAGCTCTCGGATGTTATAGCTGAGGAACATGACGCGGCTTGTCAAGGACTGTGATGTGTCTAGCTAAGATGAAGGAAGAGTCTCATGTGTAGTAGTCGTGGTATCAACAGGGTCAGTGCAGGTGAGCCCCTTCCCTAGTCATAACTTTGAGGTGTCTGGCAGTAGACAAAAATGCAAAATGGTAGGTTTTTCCATAAAAAACCAAATGGAGTTGAAGAATGAAGAAAATCGGGCTGGGATATCAGCCCAAACGTCGGTGGGAGGCGCAGTTGCTACCACCGGCGGGCGCGGTGATTTTATAAGCCGCGTCGCCAGTGACTGCACCTCTGCTGGGATCGGAGCAGGTTCCAGTAGTTGTACTACTACTGCCAAACAACAGCGCAGTGATGCCAAAGTTCCTGTAGACTTGGGTCACAAAGGCGCAATTTCAAAAAATAAAAATACAATGCAACGCAGTGATGCCATAGTCCCTGTAGACTCGGATCACGAGAGCGTTGCTAGTGTCAACACAATTGAGGAGGAAGCTCTTCTTCGTTCTCCGGGGGAAGCTGCTAAGGCCATTCGTAGGCCTAGGGCTGAACCAAATAAGGAGGGGTTGAAAGCCAAATCCAGATATAAGGCTGCGATAAAACTCTGTGCTCGCCTCGGAGACCGGAATGATCTGTCGAAGGAGGAGAAAGACAGGCTAGTCTGGGCAAAAGAGGAGATAGAGAAAGGTCGAGCCTTTTTCGCAGGTAAAAGATGGTGTGAACCCTCGGATTCCAAATTTGCAAATCGAATCGAGGAAGATATGGCATGTAAAAGGCAGCGCTCAACTGAAAGCGAAGGTCCTTTTGGAAAGAGACAAAAGCGTAAAGATGAGGCTGCCCCTCAACATAAAACTGCTACGAAAAGGACGAAAACCGATACTACTAAAAGGCCGGAAGCGTCCACATCTAAAGCAGCGACAGCAACAAAAAAGACGAAAGCCAATGATCCAAAAGAACAGGAAGCGTCTACATCTAAACTAACAATGGCGGAGATAGTGGCCAAGCGACGCTTGATTGTGGCACTTATCGACCGCAGTGATCCACAGGGTCAAATGGTAGAAACTAGGTGGAAAATAGTGGAAATGAAGCTATTAGATGCTATGTTCGCCAAAATGAGCGCGGAACCAGAAGCTCCAATGCCATCATTTGACAGGGCCGGCTGGTTCAACGGAGTGAAATTACTGAAGTGTAAAGACGACTCTACCCTGAACTGGTTAAGGGAGGCAGTTAAAACGCTCCAAGGCCTATGGGAAGGGGCATCTTTGGAGGTAGTGGACAGGAAAAATATCCCGTCTTTGCCCAAAGCGAAGGTTCTTATACCTCGAGTGGTGAAGCCAGAGGATGCTCTTCGTCTCTTACAACGACAGAATCCGGATGTGCCAACAAGCGATTGGAAGGTGTTAAAGGTCCTCAAGCCAGCTAAAGAAGGCAAGGGACAAAACTACATCCTATTAATCAACAAAATGGCCGAGGACATTCTGTATTCACGATACGGGAAGATGTCGTGGGGAGTAGGGAGCGTGTACCTTCGCCTCAAAAAACGACACCCAACCGATAGGAATTCTAATACACTCGCTGCGGAGGAAATCGAGGAGGATCTCGGTATTGAAGAAATCCTAAGCTCGTCCCTCAATCTTCGCGAAGGAGAGGAACCGGGTGTGATGAGTGGTGAAACCAACCCCGGGGAAGAATCGGAAGCTCATGCTAAAGATTCTACAAATAAACCTCCATCGAAGTAAAATTGCCTCAGCTGAGCTCCTCCTTAATCTAGAAGAGGGCGGCTACGATGTGGCTTTAATTCAGGAACCATGGTTGGCCTCGGGCAACCTGGTCTCTGGGTTAAACTCACGAAATTATAACACATTCATTCCACATGGGGTAACAAGGGTAAGAACTGTTATACTAGTAAAGAAAGGTATTAATTCTTATATTGTTAACTCTCTCTCTACAGAAGATCTAACGGTAGTGGTGGTTGACGGCGATAGGAACATACTTCTCGCGTCTTGCTACATGCCACATGAGGAAGAAATACCATCAGAAGAACTCCAAAGGCTGGTAGATTTAGCTGGCGAAGGAGAGCAAAGTCTGATAATTGGTACTGACGCCAACGCACATCATACGCTTTGGGGAAGCACTGACATCAATGACAGAGGTGAGTCTCTTTTTAATTACATAATACAAAGTAGGCTTAGTGTAGCTAACAGAGGAGAGGAACCGACCTATGTTGGACCGACCTCCAGAAACGTTCTAGATATAACACTCTTCACGGAAGATAATGTACAGGTGATAGAATGGAAGGTTCTTAACGAACCATCATTTTCAGATCACAAATATATTAGTTTCCAAATAGATTTTCAGTACCTTAAAAGCAGAAAAGTTGTAAGAAATCCCAAACAAACGAATTGGGACCTCTATCGAAAAATTCTGAAACAGAGACTGAAAAAAATTACGACAATTGATTCTTACGTGGATCTGAAAGTTAGGCTTGACCAACTTACCAGAGCCCTAACTATAGCTTACCATATCGCGTGCCCGCCAATGCGTACTAAACGTAGATCTCAACCTCCTTGGTGGAATAAGGAATTGGGATCAAAAAGACGCTACGTTCGCGAAATCTTCAAGCTGGCTCAGCTAGCAGAAAGTGAAGTTATCTGGGAAGAGTACAGATATATTCTTAAGCAATACAAAAAAGACATTCGAAATGCGAAAAGAAACTCCTGGAAGGATTTTTGCGCAGGTATAGAAAAGACGGTGGAGGTAGCTAGGCTTAGAAAACTACTATCCAAACACCCAACTATGCCTAACCTTGTCAGGAAGGAAAACGGCGAATGGACAAAAACTAACACTGAATCACTTGTAGATCTTACTAACACTCACTTTCCTGGCTGTGCAATTGTGAGCAATACCGAACCGGTCAGGAATATAGTAGGCTCCGCAGGAAAAAATATTGTTACTCACGTGAGGCTGGAATGGGCAATCAAATCATTCGCCTCATACAAATCTCCTGGACTTGATGGTATTTATCCAGCTATGATACAAAAGGCTTCGGACCTAATAAAAACATGGCTGATAAATATCTTTAGAGGATGCTTGAAGCATAATTACGTACCTGTAAACTGGCGAATGGCAAGAGTCATTTTTATTCCGAAAGCAGGAAAAAATGGTCACCTTTACTCTAGAGATTATAGGCCAATTAGTCTTACCTCTTTTATTCTCAAAATTTTTGAAAAAATACTAGCAGCACATATAGGAGACCAATTAGCTCCTGAAGTTATGTCAAGAGCACAACACGCTTATACTAAGGGCAGATCCACGGAGACTGCTCTCCATACACTTGTCACTAATATTGAAAAGGCCTTAGAATACAAAGAATACGCTCTAGGAGTTTTTCTGGATATTGCGGGAGCTTTCAATAATGTATCAACGCAAGCTATTTTAAATAGCTTAGATGATGTTGGTATAAACTCAGCCACATATCAATGGATTGCAAGCCTTTTAAGCTGCAGACAGATAAGGGCAGAATGGAACGATACAACTCTAGCTAGGGAAACATGTAAAGGAACTCCGCAGGGAGGCGTTCTCTCACCCCTTCTCTGGTTACTGGTAATCAATAAAATTCTTAAACAATTTGATGGTAAAGCTCCGAAACTAATTGCATATGCGGACGACATCGCAGTAGTTATAACGGGGAGATGCCTATCTACTCTAAGTGCGTTAATGAGCGACGCTCTCAAATCAATTTACAACTGGGCGACCGACGCTGGCTTAAGCGTAAACGCAGAAAAAACAGACACAATACTTTTCACAAGAAAGTGCAAGGTCACAGCATGGACGCCACCTAACTTGAACGGAACTCTTGCGCCACTGAAAACTCAAACGAAATACCTTGGAGTAATTGTGGATAGCAAACTGGCGTGGAAGCCTAATGTAGAAGAACGGGTAAAGAAGGCAACAAATGCTTTATACGCATGTAAAAGGATGCTGGGAAGTACATGGGGTCTCTCACCCGGTCTTATGTACTGGTGCTACACGGCTATAGTTAGACCTATATTACTTTACGGTATATTAGTTTGGTGGACAGTTGTGAAAAAGAAAACATATATAAAACCCCTGGAAAAGGTCCAAAGACACGCGGCGATGTGCATCACCGGTGCAATAAGAACAACTCCGACGGCAGCTCTAGAAGCTATACTAAACTTACCCCCAATTGATATCTTTGCCGAGAATATGGCGGCAAAAACAGCCGAACGGCTACGCATCACTGGGCAACTTACTCGAAGATCTTTCGGGCATAACGTTGTAAATCAGAACGCCACTCTTGATTCGGATTATATGATTCCGATCATGTACACCGGAGCAACAATAAAAACTGTGATCGAAAACGAAGGATGGAAAAAAGGCATGGTGCCAAAATGCAACACCATAAATGTTTTCACAGACGGTTCAAAGATAGAAGTGGGAGTAGGAGCTGGCATATATTGTGCGGAATTGAGCATAAGAATGCCGTTTAAACTTCCCAACTACTGCAGTGTATTCCAAGCAGAAGTGTTTGCTGTTAAGAAAGCGGCGGAGCTTGTGTGTAGGGATAAAACGAGAAACTACTGCATAAATTTCTATGTGGATAGCCAAGCAGCCATTAAGGCGATCAAATCTTACTGGTCATCATCCAAAAATGTTCTAGAATGCAAGGAAGCTATAGCAAGACTAGCCTGCAACCGCAGACTTTGTATGTACTGGATTCCTGGTCATAAAGGCATAGAGGGAAATGAGACAGTTGATGCTATTGCTAAAAATGGCGCAAAACTTTCAGAGGAACAAACGAGCGAAGTACTTAGACCTCTGAAACAAATACATAAACTTCTGGACGAGCACATGATAAGGAGAGCAAAGGTAAGGTGGCGGAACTTAACCACCTGTAGAACAGCTAGAATTATGTGTAGACACATATACGAAGAAAAATACACCAAGAATGTTATATCGTTTAACCTAAGGAACTGTAGAACATTAATTGGTGTGTTGACAGGTCACTGTTTGGTTGCATCACATGCCCGAAAACTAAACCTAATTCACAACGATGCTTGCAGGAAATGCAATGAGCCGGATGCAAAGGAAACTCTAGAGCATCTGATGTGTAATTGCCCGGCTCTCTCGAGAACTCGACAAAAATACTTAGGAGCTTTCAGTTTTGCAGGACTGGAGTACATACCTGAGGTTTCTGTTGGAATCTTAATAAATTTTGCTAATGAAACGCGCATCTTAAGTGATGTTTACAATCGCTAAAACAAGACTCTGATCTGGTATCGCAATGGACCTTAGTGGTCTACGCGTGGCCTTTATGGCCTGCCAGCATAATCTAATCTAATCTAATATTGTTCTGCAAAATTGGGAGCTTTTCTTTGGGTTTTTAATTTCAAGAAATGAAATATGAGAGATAATATAATGAAATAAAGTAATTCTAATTGGAAATTAAGTATTTTGTCTAATATAATTTTTGTTAATTAACATACGGTGTATTAACGGAGTAAAAGCAGTGTTAAAATTCAATATTCTTGTTGTGCTAAAATTTATGTTGGTCACAGTATGTTTAAAGTATTATATTCGGTAAAAATATAAACTAATGTTAGGCAAATATGTATTCCGTATAGACCGTACATAAAATAATTGATACGAAATTTTGTGAATTACTCAGCTATTGAAACATTTTTGGCAATTAAACTAACAGATAGCCGGGAATCACAAGATCCATTCGGAATTACAATTACAAGACCCATTCGCTTTTGTTGCTGATTAAAAAAATATATATTTTATGTAATCAACGATGTCTCATTAAACTTGTTACATATATTTTAATAAAGTTTATCATTTTTATACTTATGTAATAATAATGTATTCAGAACAAAACATCTTCAGCCGTACAAGAACATATTTTGCACTTTCACCTAGCGACTTTATTGAAACGTTAGTTACGCCACCCATCTTTCACCTTTTCTAAAATATATTCATCTTGTTGTTTATATACATATATCGAGACAAGCTCATTTGGTTCTTTACAAGACTGGTCTCAATTTTAGTAATATTGTCAACCATTTTATTTTTCTATACTCTTTAGAGTAAAGAGTACTCTATACTTTTATCGCCAGGGACGTTATATATACATATTCCACGCCTATAAGTTCTATACCTATTGCTTTGTCACACTGCTGAAAATTTTTAAAGGATGTTTAGAATGAGCAGAGTGCTTTTATAAATGCTGGGTCATATTTTATTATATAGTTAGTTTTTTTTTGCAAGCAAAGAAATTCTGCCATTTTTATAATATGAAATACTACTTTCTAAAACATATTACAATGGCTAAGAATCGTATATGCTTTCATTTTCCATAATTCTTTAGTTCCCTCTTTAACCATGCATAGTCCGTATCAAATAGTTTATAATGACTTCAGCATTATGATTTATAGAGTTGTGTCCAAAGACTTTTTGAATTAATTGTTTAATCATTTGTTAGCTATCCTACTCACCAATTTGGTTTCCGGCATAAACACAACACAATTAAGCAAGTTCACCGAGTGGCAAACGAAATTAGAAAGGCCTATGAAGAAGGAAAATACTGTTGTGGCCTATTTCTTGACATTGCACAGGCCTTTGACAAAGTATGGCACGAAGGCCTAGTCTTTAAAATTAGGCAAATTTTACCAGCTTCTTTCCATAAACTATTGATATTTACTTACGAGGCCAAACTCTGGGGTAAAGTCAGCGCGTCAAATATAAATATTATACAGCGCATTCAGTCAAAAATAGTTCGTTCTTTAACAGGAGCACCCTGGTTCCTCAGAAATTCCATCATACATATGGACCTTCACCTCTAGACAAAGACGAGCTAGCCCTCCTACGGCTAAAATACGATACTAAAATATCTTACCAGAACAAGAAATATATCCCGTCTCAAAAGATCAGATTTACCGGTATACCTGTATGTATTACCACATCAAGTTTTAAACAAGGAAAGTTTAGGTTGTGACATAAACTTTGAATGTATATTTTTAGTATGTAAGATTTAAATAATTAAGTGATTCAATAAATAAAAGAAAAAAAAAATTTGTTAGCTAAATTTTCTGTCTGATTTTATGCAAAAAATTAGCTTGCTGTTGAAAA